CCCCGCCTCTATCGAGGCGGGTTAATAAAACTCCAATGTATGGCTACCAAAGTGTTGTTCTCGAGCATAGACGAGGACAAGGATCGAGGCTGGATGAGCCGGTTCGTTCGAGTGTGGACTTCCGACCTAATCCTAGCCAAGAAGATGCCATTTCCTGAGAAATAGAACATGAATCGTAAGTACCGTCTCACTGTTAGCTTCCATGTATTTTATTTGTTCCTTGGTCTTTTCTCATTGATATCTTTTTCCATGATGTAGCGGTCGCTTGGATGCCCCGTACGATTCCCGACCTTGAGAGCTGGGTTCGGAACCTGGCCTCGACCTCTACATACGCCGAGCGCTCATGGCACGATTTAACAAAGGGCCGATGGGAGGCCAAGAATCATGGTAAGCCCACTTTTTGTGTATTTGTTGATTTGATTAAGATGCCATTCTTCTACTTATTCAATTTTCTCGTGTACAAGCCTGGGCAATGATGCGGTCATGAGACCCCCGTCTGGTGAGGAGGAGACTTCGACCCCGGTTTCGAAGCCGATGAAGGATAAGAAGAGGAAAATGACCTCAACCTCCGAGGATCCAAAGCCTAAGAAGAATCCGGTTCGTAAGCCGAAGAAATATACCGTTGCCCTGCCTGTGGATGTGATTCAATGGCTAAGGAAGGAAGAAGAAGAGGATGAAGATGATGGTTCGGAACTGGTGGCCTGAGTGAAAAAAACCATCGAGGCCCCAAAGGCCGCTGAATCGGTGGTGGTTGAGGAGATTCCGCCTCGGCGTCTTAGAAAAGGACTCGGGCAAAGTCCCCAAGTCGTTGAAGAACAAAGATGCCTCCCGTCGAGATGAGCAAAAGGCGGGTATATCTGAAAGGGTCGGCTTCGAAGCCCTTCGCAGCGAGGAGAACACCCCAAGTGGCTCACTTGGGGCAATAGATATTGGAGACTCATTGATTCTCCCTGCGTTTTCCGAGGAGGCAATTCGGGAGGCCCAAGCTACGAGGACTCCCGAAGTAGACAGGGCCCATGGAGAGGAGGACCCCTTCCGTGGTTACTTTATTGGGGTCGAGGATGCTACCGACCTGAGTGAAGCATCGAGTCTCTTCACTAAGGCTCAACAAGTCTTGATTCCGGTGAGTCTCAAATCCCTTTGTCAATATCATACTTAGTTTATTTCTTCTCTTCATGTCTAATTTCCTTTCTTTTTTCCGTATAGGCTTTGGCGCTCTATTAGGAGGCGTTCGCAAAGTCCCGAGCAAAGCTGAGCCGATGTGAGGCTGACCTCCAAGGGCTCACAGAGGAGAGAAATGCCCTTAAACTTCTCAGTAGGCAAAAAGAAGAGGATATCAAGGACCTCCGAGCCGAGTTGGCCAAAGCTCACCAAGATCAGACCGACCTGATCGAGCAGGTAATGAAAATCTTAAAAGCTCATGGGCTCGATTCGGGAACGGTGGCTAACATTTCAATCTCACAGCTGAAGCAGAAGGTCAAGAGGATCGAGCAGTTCTGCGAGGAGGTCAACATAATGAAGGCGGAGACCTTGGGGTGGAAACAAGTATGGACCACTTTGCTGCTGAAAAAGAGGCTGCTCGAGCCTAATTGTCATCGGTCGAAAGTCAACTTTGAGGCATGAAGGAGAAGAGCTCAGCTCAGGCAAAGAAAATAGAGGAGCTCAAGGCTCGGTTGGCTTCCGAACTTGCAAAGGCCAAATCCGAACCTGAAAAGGCAAAGGCCGAGGCAGAGGCGATCGTGGCCATCTACCGGGAGATGCTGAAGCCGCTCAAGTCCAAGCGAGAGAGGCATTCGAGACCGCTCAAACTCGAGCACATTGGATTACTGAACTCGCCAAATGCCAATCTCAAAGGAAAACCCTCGAGGAGATCCATGCTCGAGGTTTCGATCTTACCGACGAGATAATAAAGGCTAAAGAGCATGAAGCTGATGCTAGATCGCTGGCCTCTTCCAATGATGATGATGACAGCAAGAGCGGGTCCGAGAATAGGGAGGACTTCGATGGAGAGGAAGCTACCCTTGAGGAAAATAAGGAATCTTAGGCTTTTTCTTTTTGATTTTTTGTGCGGGACCCTGATCGGTCCTTGTAAATATTTTCGTATATATAAAAGATCTTTTTTCTCTTTGACTTGTCTTTATTCTATTTCCTGCCTCGTAAAAATTCTATTTCATTCATGCCTTCATACTTTATGGAGATTTTGCTCACAAGTTTGGGACTTTAGGAAACTAGACCGAAGTCGGACCAGTGTAGTCTTTAAAATCGAGTGAGTACTTGCTCAAACTCGAAGTAGAGTAACCCTTAGGTTTTAGTTGAGTAAGGACGAATTCTCGAACTCAAAAAATAAAATGGACCTTAGGCTCTTGAATTAGGCCGTTGTGGCCTCAAAAGAATGGCTTTTCCCCCTTTTCGGCTTGAAACATTAATCATAAAAATTTATCATGCCTTAGCACGAGATAAATTTGTACCCATTAGGTTTTTCACGGATTGGTGTTATCGAAATCCTTTGCTTTGTTATGCCTTAGCACAAAATTTTCTGGTAGTTCGAACAATTCGCTATCCCTTAGGGTTTTTCGAGGGTCGATATTATCGAGACCCTTAGTAATTCAGCCGAGGGTTACCCTTTTTAACTGGTTTATGAGAATATTTGAAGGCCTGTTTTATAACAGAATTCGGACGTCTCTGAACCGTGTTAATTTGGCCGTAGCCTTTAGTTTGGGATTTTCCCCTTAGGTTTGTTTCCCTGCTATACTTCGAACTCGTTCGAAGTGTCAGTCCCCGAGTGGGGTGGCCGTGGCCTATAAAATCGAGGATTGCCTTTTTAAGGTCTTACAATTTCGAGATTTAGTAATTCGATCATGTCAATATTTTGGACGGTAGCCCCCAAGTATAGGGTAAATTATTTGAACTTCAGTTGTGATCGGCCCTTAAGCCAGTTTCCATAATAGATCATAAGTATGAAATTGTAAAGTATAAATTTCTCTAAGGCATGGAACATCTGGTAAGGAAAAATACTTCTTTCAATAGATTATATA